AGTCATTACACCAGATGTATGAAGGCCTACACCATTACATAAGTCAGTCATTATACCAGATGTATGAAGGCCTACACCATTACATAAGTCAGTCAGTTCACCAGATGTATGAAGGCCTACACCATTACATAAATCAGTCATTACACCAGATGTATGAAGGCCTGCACCATTACAGAAGTCACCAATGCCATTAAATGTTTTTCTAGGAAACCTCCACATCACTCGTGCATGTAGAACTTAACGATACGACAATCCATAGCTCGCTCAATAGCCTGCCTAACCTTGTCAGAACATGATCACGTGACCAGCGTCGTGGTTCTATGTCAACGTCTTGAGTCACGGTTGGCTAGTTCTGATGGTTAAAATCTGCTTTCTACTTGGGTATCTTTTTTCTTTATAGTTTTTTAAATAACCATAGTTCTTCCTTCAACTCACAACTCATTCAAAAACCTGGCTGAACCCCCCCCCCCCTCCCTCCCTCGACCCTCACCCAGTACAAATCATGTGTAATATAAGTCGGTAGAATGGCGAGAGTTGTAATCATTTCGCTAGATATCTATTGACAGTATAGAATTGAGAGCAAAAAGAAGCATTCAATTGTCACAGCATGACTGAGCTTTACGTCACAGTTTCCTGTAAGTTGGGTACATCCAAGAAAGAGGATGTTTTTTTTATTATTGGCCAGCACGAGTACATCCTGGTACCCCAACTTCTATTTAAGTTAGTCTAACGGCCGCTGGGGTGAGAGTTGGGGTGGGGAGATCATCTTGACCAGTCAGTGCCGTCTGCTCACTGACACATGGATGTCATCTGTCACAATAACGTGAGTTGTGTTTCCTTTGTCGTGGTGGTGGCACCTGTTATAATTACATGGTTGACTGACTAGATGAGTAGATTAACATTAAAGCAATTATCAACTGTTTGTTAAACCTTTCATCAGGTGGTTGCTATGGGCGAGCTACCCTATGTCAACGTGGAATCTTTGATAACCTTTTCTGGTATCATCCCGTCTGGTTCTCGCATGTAAGTTCAAAGTTCGACCACGTGATAAGGCTATATATATATATATATATATATATATATATATATATATATATATATATATATATATATATATATATATATATATATATATATATATATATATATAAATAAATATATATATATATATATATAAGTATATATGCATGTATGTAACTATATAGCAGTAGCTGTATGTAACGATGTCTGTATTTCCCCAGGTTTTCCATCGAGTTGTCCAACAAAGGTACAGGCCAGACAGCTCTAGTGATCCAAGTCCTCTTTGACTACGCAGACTTTCAGGAGTGTGTGGTTCTGTCTGGCTCAGTCAGTCCCCAGCCATACAAGAAAGTCATCGGCAGAGCTTTCCCCTTTGGCTACGGTCCACTGAAGCTGAGCATCGGGTTTTGTAACCTCGGGAAAGATTTTGTGGTCAGTCTCTGCTGCTGTTGTTCTAGTTTACTGATTACACACGGCTGTTTTCTCTAACTCAGGTTTGACCTTAAAGCTGTAGCCCATCAAGACTCAATAGGTCGCTAAACTGTCCCACTACACTTGCTAAAGTTTACAGTTAAACGTTCTGAAAACTCTTTACAATATTTCTCACGGTCTAACTGTAACGTATTCCTTGCTTCAGATCGCCGTAAATGATAAGTACCTGGCGTCATTTCCAAGAAACATCATACGGATCAATTACGTCATCGTGAAAGGTCAAGTTCATGACATCAAGGACCTAATTAAGCTGACCTTCTAGCCATCACCTGCTACCTGTGACCTGCTAGCTGTGACCTACTAGCTGTGACCTACTAGCTGTGACCTGCTAGCTGTGACCTGCGAGCTGTGACCTGCTAGCTGTGACCTGCTAGCTTCTTCTAGCTGTCAACAAGATGACCTGCTATCTACTTAAGACAGTGATATGCTTTAGGTTTGATTGAACACAGCTAACATGGGTCTCGATAGAGTATGTGAACACTTTCCGGACCGGAAACGGAAATGAGGACCAAACTGTCAAGACATGATTTAGATCATTAGTGGCCAAAAGGTGCTCATTTAAATCATTCTAATTAATAGCAGGTCAAAAATGCTGTATCAGCCGACTGGTGACTTTAGATAAGTAGGACAACACGTGTGTAGCTGTATTATGCTCGTGGATATAATAGTGAGTAGTTTATCGTGCTTGGTGCGTGTGTAGGCGGGTAGACATAATGCTGGCCACACCATTCATTTATATTTAGAGCTCAAAAAACATATGAACTCTACTTCGTCTGCCCTATGGATAGTTAGGTCTAGAAGGGGCACTTTTACTTTTGACATATAAGGTAGACAATCCGATTGAGATATGTCAAACAATAAAGTCTGCTTAAACTACCGTGGACAGTGTTTCTTCTAGACTTTTTTTCTCCGGGGGTGCAATTGAAATTTTCGACCGGGGTGGGGGGGGGGGGGGGTGGACACTGTCAAAAGTATATATTTTCTATATAAACTCCATTTCGTTTGGAGGGGGGGGGGCGGTAGACTTTCTTCGGCGGGGCGGTGCCCTCCTCCCCCCGAAGAAATGCCTGAAGGAAACTCTGACTGTGGAATGCTTTGTCTTACCAACTGTTGTGTGAGAATTGTTTTATTAACACATTGAGAGTTCCAGGAAACATTTCTACATGTAAAAATAAATATTGTTTTTAATTAACATGTGTTCTATTGATTTCTATCGAGTGCATCTGTTATTGGTATAAAACAAACTGAACGAATGGCCTTCACGACGAAATATGTTTTGTATACTAAAAAATATAAAATATATGTGCTGCTATTGTAACTCTAAATGTAAATAGTGCATAGACATGAACAGAAAAGGCACCAAATGAGAGCAAATGTGTCTCATCATGCATTTAAAGAACACAAAATACATTAAAATGTATGCAAACATATTTTAACACTAATGATAACTATTTAGGGATTAAAATAAAATTGTGCAATGTGCGCACATTTCAAGAAATAGCCTACGCCGCACCATTCAGCACCAGTGCTGTTATAAAGTTGCAATTTAAAAAAAAGAAAGATGGGGAATGTGATGTAGCTAAAATGGTTTAGATAGCTCTGCCACAGATAGGATTCTAATATCTGCTCTCACCATCTGCCAAAACAATCTGTAGGTATATTTAGACATTCTGGCTTTAAATCTCGTTTATTCGATACAATGATATTCGCAGTTTTTTTCACCTAGTAGATCTACATATTAGGCAAGAATTCTAGCTACTAGATCTAGATCTAGATCTAGATCTATCTAGATACTGCGGCTAAATTCGGCTAATATTTTCTTTAGAACCTAGATCTAGATCTATTAGTTCTAATTCTCTGTGTATTTTACCGATTTTTTTTTCTTAAAATTTTTATCAACAAGTGCGTAAAAAATAAGCGGCTAAAAATTAAAACGGGGTGGGGTTGGGGGGGGGGAGAAGAGAAGAGGCAAGGGGGGATAGGGGCTACACAAGATACATTTGTGTCAAATGTAACTATCGACAAGTTACGTCAGCATATGTTGCATCTTACAGTCGCAGAGGTACAAAGTTTTCTATCGTATCGATGTTAGTTCTGGTAGAGACTAAGGTCAAGGCTAAGTTAGAAATATGTGAAAGATCGTGGTTAGGGAAGATTTTTTATCAATAGATTACTCACAATACTTCATGTGAACGTATTTTTCAGTTGCCGTATTTTATATCTAATAACTGAACTACAAAACGTTAAGCCCACACGTAACATAAACTTAACTCTAGTATTAACCTTAACGCTAAACTTTTCGTATATCTGATACACATATGAATATCCGAATTACCTGATATTTACCAAGTCTTCATTATCGACATTTAAATAATCCAGTAATTAAATTCTTCTAGCCCATGTTAATTATTCGGTATGTCAAAACGGCATGTGAGGAATATTAAAGTCAATTTTCTACCCAGCCGCCGTTACTTTACTCATTATTTATCGGACAAACGGCTTCGGGCAAGTGTCCATTCGGGCATTTGTTGAATTCGGGCAAGTGTCGAATTTGGGCATTTGTTGCCTTCGGGCAAGTGTCCATTCGGGCATTAGTCGCATTCGGGCAAGTGTCGAATTTGGGCATTTGTTGCCTTCGGGCAAGTGTCCATTCGGGCATTAGTCGCATTCGGGCAAGTGTCGCATTTGGGCATTTGTTGCATTCGGGCAAGTGTCGCATTCGGGCATTTGTTGCATTCGGGCAAGTGTCGCATTTGGGCATTTGTTGCATTCGGGCAAGTGTCGCATTTGGGCATTTGTTGCATTCGGGCATTTGTTGCATTCGGGCATTTGTTGCATTCGGGCAAGTGTCGCATTTGGGCATTTGTTGCATTCGGGCATTTGTTGCATTCGGGCATTTGTTGCATTCGGGCAAGTGTCGCATTTGGGCATTTGTTGCATTCGGGCAAGTGTCGCATTCGGGCATTTGTCGCATTCGGGCATTTGTTGCATTCGGGCAAGTGTCTTTCAGGAAAACGTCCGGCTCCCATATGGACGTATTATTTAAATCCTTCGAGTTGGGTGGACCTAGTAGGTATATACTATGAGCCCAAATCCTAATCGAACACCAGACTTCCTCATGTGCTCTGGCGCAAAACCACGCTGTACAGTATCCGTAGTAGAGGCTTGGATTACATAGAATGCAATCATTAATTAATTCGAGACCTTGAATCAATGCAGTGACCTGTGACCTCTGAAGCAGTTCGAGCACCATGTCTAGAGAGACCTTATCGTCACAGACCACTGGATACAAGCACTGACCTCCTGACCTCTCCCCTCGTCTCGCTCCAGTTACCAGACAAGATGGCGGTTGTAAGTTGATCTACAAGTTGTAGTGTCATCTATCCAATCTTCTGTGTCTGAAGTTAGTTTTCTCCTGTTTAATGTTGTTACGGTCTGGTTCGAGTGAAAGTTTTTTTATAACAGGTTTTTTTTTTTCTTGTTCACAGGTTCTTGCACCGGTAAGTGGAGATTTTACATTTCTCTCAGGGGTGTGGGTGTGGGTGTGTGTGTGTGTGTGTGGGTGTGTGGGTGGGGGGTGAGGAGGGGGAGGGAGGGGGAGGGAGGGTATAAATATGTGGGGCCTGGGCTGATGGTGAAAGGGGGGGGGGGAGAAAGAAAAAAAAAGTTTTATATAAACTTAAACAATGGTCATGTATATAAGAAAATGATGTTAAATATTTAGCATTTATTTATTTAAAAATTTACAGCGTATTGAAATAAAATGTGTGTCACTTGTGTGTTGAAATGTTGTTGTGTGTCCAGTGTGTAAAGATGATGTTGTGTCTCCAGTGTTTAAAAATGATGTTGTGTGTCTACATTGTGTTAAAATAATGCTGTGTTCCAGTGTGTTAAAACGGTGTAGTGTGTCCAGTGTTTAATGTAATGTTGTGTGTCCAGTGTGTGTTAAAATGATGCTGTGTGTCCACAGTGTGTACCATTCACCAACTTCCTGCCCTGTCAGCTGTTCCCTGGAAAAAAGATTATAGTTCGCGGAGTTCCCAAATGTTCGGCTTTAGAGTAAGTTCCTTGCATGTTTTTATTCTTTAACTAAAATCAGAATAGGTCTACATCGTATACATCTGTGGAATTTGAATGGTGACGATCAGTATAATCTGTGATTTAATACACGAGATACTGGGCGGTAGGGGGGGCGGGGAAGTGAGGTTTATGTTTGTACTAATCCACCACCATCTTAACATCATCCCTTGCTGAAGACACAACGTCTACACCGTTCAAGACGTTTTGCGATATTGATGCTCAAAATCCTCAAAACTCACCGCCCCCATTTAGGCCTAAGTAAAATGTTAAATGTTTTGTAGCGCTAACTTGTCACTTAGACAGTTGATGGTGGGACTTGTATTTTGGGATGAGATGTATTGTGAGATGGTTGGGTTAAATCATGGACACTTTGCCCCAATGTCACCCTGACATCAACATCCTCTGCTCCAGGTTCAACTTTGTTCTCCTGTGTGGGCCCTCCATCGACTACAGCGAGATAGCCTTGACCGTGGACGCCATCTTTGACGGGCCCCCATGCGGAGGCGGGGGGTGCGGCAGAAGCTCCCTGGTGGTGGCCCACAGGGCGCGCTGTGGGTGGTCGGAGGACCAGGTGCTCTCCTGTTACTTCCCCTTCTCCAGGAACGTGCCGTTTGAGTTGGTCATTGTGGTGGAGTGTGGTGGATTCAAGGTAGGTCGTGGTGGAGTGTGGTAGATTCAAGGTAGGTCGTGGTGGAGTAGGGTGGATTCAAGGTAGGTCGTGGTGGAGTGTGGTAGATTCAAGGTAGGTCGTGGTGGAGTGTGGTGGATTCAAGGTAGGTCGTGGTGGAGTGTGGTGGATTCAAGGTAGGTCGTGGTGGAGTGTGGTGGATTCAAGGTAGGTCGTGGTGGAGTGTGGTGGATTCAAGGTAGGTCGTGGTGGAGTGTGGTGGATTCAAGGTAGGTCGTGGTGGAGTGTGGTGGATTCAAGGTAGGTCGGGGTGGGGTAGGGTGGATTCAAGGTAGGTCGGGGTGGAGTGTGGTGGATACAAAGAAGGTCGAGAGTGGAGCAGGGTGGATTCAAGGTAGGTCGGGGTGGGGTAGGGTGGATTCAAGGTAGGTCGTGGTGGAGTGTGGTGGATTCAAGGTAGGTCGGGGTGGAGATGGGGAAAAAAGATAGGTCGGGGATGGGTAGGGTGGATTCAAGGTAGTTTGTGGTGGAGTGTGATGGATACGAGATAGGTGGGGTGGAGTAGGGTGGATACAAGGTAGGTCGGGGTGGGGTAGGATGGATACAAGGTAGGCGGGAGAGTATGTTGGATACTAGTCAAATCATTGTAATTTATATTGGCTTCTGGTTGGAGTGTAATGGCGTCAAGGTTAACCTTAGTGATGGCTCTACAATGCTACCTACCTGTTCTCACCTGTGTTTTTTAATGCTACCTACCTGTTCTCACCTGTGTTTTTTAATGCTACCTACCTGTTCTCACCTGTGTTTTTTAATGCTACCTACCTGTTCTCACCTGTGTTTTTTAATGCTACCTACCTGTTCTCACCTGTGTTTTTTAATGCTACCTACCTGTTCTCACCTGTGTTTTTTAATGCTACCTATCTGTACTCTGTGTTTATAATGCTACCTACCTGTATTCACCTGTATTTTACAATGCTACTTAACTGTTCTCATCTGTGTTTCAGATTATCGTCAACAACCAACTCTACTCCACCTACAGACACCAGTTCCCGCTACATCTCGTCTCTCACTACGCTGTTCTCGGTGACGTCGTCATCAACGAGATCGTCTTTCTATAAACATTCACCTGACACACGGATTTATTTCAGGACTTCTCCATACACCCATTCTAGTGGTGTTCTCACATCAAATAGTTATATCACCTGACACACAGATTTACTTCATGACTTCAACTTCTCCATACACCCTTCCTAGTGGTGTCCTCACATTTAATACTTACAATAGCATAGTCCACCCCATCTTTTTAGTGAGCATCTACAATAAACATTTAGTAGAAACGGTACTGATTTGTTATTCTATTTTATATATTTCTTTTTTATTGTTACAGCGCATTTACTCAGTTACATTTTTTTTTTAAAAACAACAAATAAAAAGAAATATCAAAGAATTAATTTCGTTTTAAATATATTCATCAATAATCGAGCACTAGAGTTTAATTGGAGACAACAAAAATATAGCTATCATTTTAATTATTAGTAAGAGTTCCCTTGCATTTAATTTGAACAGCGATTCTGTGTAGTAAGAAATATATATAATAATTAGATTTTTAATTCAAAAAGAATTTTCTCCAATATAAATATATAGATCTATATATATCATTTATAAATAATACATATTTTTTGTTGTTGTTTTGCAATTTGATTTAAAAATTTGACTTAAAATTTAATTAAATTAAAAATCATTAAAAACAACTTCAAAAGTTAATGGATTAGCGGTCAAAGGGAGAACACTGAGTTATTTATATTATTGAAATAGTCAAACAAAAGTAGTTTCCCTTTAAAAATCTTAAAATTTCATAAGGAAGCTTCTTTTAACGGTCTAAGGGATACAACCCAGTTATATATATTATTCAAATAGTCAATCATTAGTTATTTCCCATTATACAATTTCTTAAGTGATCACCATTCAGTGGTCTAAGGCAGGGGTCAGAAACCTTTTGAAGCGGAAGAGCCAAAAGTTACAATTTTCAAAATTTCTCTGGTTTTAAAGAGCCACTAACATTTTTTTATTTCAAATATTTTATTTTTTTATTAAGATTATTAGTATTTGTGCAAGGAGCTGGAGAGCCGCATCTTGATATCAAAACAGCCGCATGCGGCTCGCGAGCCGCAGGTTGCCGACCCCTGGTCTAAGGGAAAGAACAAGGTTATTTATATTTTCAATAATTAGCAACACGATAGTTATTTCCCATTACTATGTTTCATATTGCCGTACAATTTTTATCATTTATTTTTTTGGATTTATGCATGAAGAAATTAGTCACTTGACCTACCGACTTTATTCAGTTCAATCTCCAATAATAAATAGGAATTACAAATAAATAAATTTAATCAAAAAGTTACCGGTGACAGTCAAAAGAAAATATGTTTTTTAATAATTAAAACAGACTACGAATCTTTGACTTATTTCTTCTAGTTTATATTTATTTTAATCAACTTGGTATTTCTCGGTCAGTTTGACATCAATTGCGTACGAAAAGTCAGCTAAATGTGTGTTAGCACAAAATAACATTTAAAAGGTGAGTAATTACTTTTAAAACTTTTTTTTATAAAAACGGAAATAAAATTATTTTGGCCACGACGCTCATCAAATTGTCCATCTGATGAACATAATTGATAGCCAATTAAAATGTGTACATCAACATCATAATGTTAATTTGCTTTCGGTGATACAATATCAAATTTTTAAAAAGTGTTATGAATTTTCATTCTTACCTGAAAGCACCAAAATAAAATAAAATTATGTCAATATTCAATAAGGGAAGCTACGTGTGTTAAATAGATTTTTTTATTGCAGTAGTCTCCCTTAGACCGTTAAAAAAGGAAAAGTGGAGGAGAGTTAAGTTTTTCTTTATTTTTAAAATTATTATTTTGTGGGGTGGGGGCGGGGGGAGGGGGGGGGGGGTAGATTACGTTGCACTTTTTATTTTGTACTGTTGTCTGAATTTAAATTATAAATGTATTTGCAAAGTGTAGCCTAGCCAAATAACCCTTACATTCCCTACACCAGGTGTGTTAGCTGTGTCACGTGACGGCATTGCTCTCTTGAAGTGAACAAATGTAAGTATCGTATCCCACACAACAACAGGCCATTTGTGACACAGTGTTTACACCAAGTGTAGCTCTACATCAACCACTCCCTTACACTCACATCAATAGGGAGATTAGTTCTAGCCAACTCGAACCCTCTCTTTATACTAACACATACAAACACAAAGACAAACACATACTCAAGCACAAACGCACATACAAACGAACACACACACACAAACACACATACACAAACACACAAACATAAACACACACAAATACACACAAACACGCACACGTACACACACAAACACAAGCCGACAAATCAAACAGCCAGCATATTCTTCTTTTAAAAAAACTTGCTTTTCTTTATTCTCGTATTGTGTATATAACATCTAAATAATAGCACAAAAAACTATGCTGACTATACAAACTGAATGTTTGAGGTTTCACAATTTATTACTGCCTGTATTGTGTTCAAATATTGAGGAAATTAATTAAATTAAGTATAAAACGCTTATAAGTAAAAAAAAAAAATCTTCCTTCAACACGAGTTTTTTACGTACATCCGACACGTCCATTTTTAGACTATTTCGTCGTTTCAGCATAGAAAAAAAAGTCCTTCTTTGTGTTGGGCTATTTTTGTATAAATCACGTGATTACCTTTGTATATGTTTACCGTACAGTAAATCTTTTTTTTCTTAAAACAAATTCCGGACTTACATGCCACTAGTAACTTTTGAAAAATAAAAATGGAGATATAATATGGTGTTTAAAGGGATATAATATGGTGTTTACAGGGATATAATATGGTGTTTAAAAGGATATAATATGGTGTTTACAAGGATATAATATGGTGTTTAAAAGGATATAATATGGTGTTTAAAAGGATATAATATAGTGTTTAAAAGGATATAATATTGTGTTTAAAGGGATATAATATGGTGTTTAAAAGGATATAATATGGTGTTTAAAAAGATATAATATAGTGTTTAAAAGGATATAATATGGCGTTTAAAGGGATATAATATGGTGTTTAAAAGGATATAATATGGTGTTTAAAAAGATATAATATAGTGTTTAAAAGGATCTAATATGGCGTTTAAAGGGATATAATATGGCGTTTAAAGGGTTATAATATGGTGTTTAAAAGGATCCCATTTGTTTGTGAAAATCCGCCTACATAAATATTTTAGATTTAGCAAACTGTGAAAAAAAACAGTCAAAATTGTTTTAAAATATTCATAATGTCGGTTGCTTTAATTCTACACCACAATAGCTAGACTGCTAACACGAAAGTCTCGAGTTCGAATCCGGGTTCAAGTCAGTAGACCGTCCCTGAGTCCACCCAGCTAAAGGCGGCTGGGCATAGTGCTGACCACAGTATTCCTTCATATGCCGAGTTCACAGAAACAGGTGAACTTTACTTCACTTGCCCCATGGACCATCAGGTTTGGAAGGGGAACTTTACTTTTACTTTACTACACGACGCTCCATTAATCTCATTACATTCCACACTTATTGCTGTATAAGAAAAATTACTATGGTTGACATTGTTAATATTCCAAATTCTAAATTTAAAAAAAAAAAGAAACTTTTTGAATTATTTAAAAAGAAAAAAACCTCTTTATCGTTTTTGTATGTATTTCATATGTATCATATATATGTGTTGTCTATTTTACATTAAGAGGGGGACGGGTATTGAAAACACATTTGTCACAAATTATAAGATACTTGCTTATTTTTAACTGGATTAACTTTAAATTACTTTAAACATTATAACAATTTATAACATTATTTGGGCCAATTTATAAATTTTTAGCGAAATTTGGGGTCAAATTTAACAATTTTTTATTTACACAGTAGAAACAAAATAACTAAACAAATAATTAAAAACAATGCAATATAAATTTGCACATTCCTAGTAGACATGACAAAGGATGGTTTGTTAAAGGGAAATTTTGATATCTTAGAAAATGAATACATTTTTTGTGAAATTTTTAAAATGTATTAAAAAAATGTCATATATAGTTGGAGGTTAAAAAAGTTCTAGGTTAAAAGCTAAATCATAGTGTTAATAAACAACGTTTTATGTGTTGTATGTGTTCATAAACAACGTTGTATGTGTTATATGTGTTCATAAACAACGTTATATGTGTTAGTATTCTAAACAATTCGTTGTCCCACCGTATTCAGAAGCCGGCACTAATAATTTGATAAACCAGTTTTGATATTTTTATTAATAGTTTTTTTTTTCGATACTAAAAGTTGTCCATAACTTTTCACTAGTCTGAACATGCTTGTCAATTTAGGCCTACTCTAAATATAGCTGGACATTTCTCGAAGTTTCCCATACTCCTAAACTCCATATCGTTTGGACTATGTTGGATTCGAATGTTAAATCTCATGACATGACGTTATTATTCTATCAATCTGACATTTATACTCTCGCAGAAAATACAAGTCAAAATTTTTATAGGCCACTGTTGTTTATTTCGATGAATCATTTCCTACACCTAATGCGCTTTTAGATTTAAAAATATGAAAATGAAAAAGTGGTACACCACCAGCGAGTACCTGGAGAAATGGAGATATTAAAAAGTCATTTGGGCCCCCAAGAATGCGCAGGTTCGAGTCACCTGTCCAACGGCCCCTTTCATGTGTCAGCCTGCGGCCGTATTCAGGTAATTAATTTATATTCCAACGTCGCACACCGCACCCAATATTACAACATCTTCAGTAGATCCGCTTAATGAGAGCAGCGGTATAGAGGTAGACTGGGCTCAGGGGGTCCCTCCCTGAGAGGTCAGGGGGTCCCACATAGAGAGGTCAGGGGTCAGGTGATAGGAAGACATGATGACATTGGTGTCTGTTGATGTTGTTGAGGAGTTTGGTCATTGTCTGGTGTTGTTTCAAGGGTTTGGTCAGTGGGTGGTGATGTTGTGTTGGGTTCGGTGAGTGGGTTGTGATGTTGTATGTGGTTAGGCCGGCAGCTGCTGCTGTAGTATGTCTGTGTTGACCACACTATGAGAACCGCTGGGACTGTTGGGACCTGGTGTCTTATGTCGTGTTGACCACACTATGAGAACCGCTGGGACTGAAGCCGAGATGTTGGGACCTGGTGTCTTATGTCGTGTTGACCACACTATGAGAACCGCTGGGACTGAAGCCGGGATGTTGGGACCTGGTGTCTTATGTCGTGTTGACCACACTATGAGAACCGCTGGGACTGAAGCCGAGATGTTG